GTCCCTCACGACTATGCGTGAGCATTTGCAATGATAATCACGCGATACTGATCGTGAATAATAAGCTATGCACATACATTATTTTAACGTTACACTAATTTTATAACGAGCTTATTACAATCTTTTTTATGTAGTACCTAGGGCGTAGCAAATACTTAGGGATATGAAAATATTTTTTATCTAATCATCGAATAGTAAAACAATAAATTTTATTTCACTATTTTCAATTCTGCTGATGTCGTGGTGGACAGGTGATCGAGGCGTACCTGGCAAGTACCTACTAATGTAATTTTTTCGAGTAAAATATTTTCTTTTCTAAGTTTAATAAACACCATAGACAAACGGCAAAGGAAAGCATCGGGAGGGAACCTGGAGTCATAATTTATAATTATTTGTTTGAAATCGCTAATTCGCCTTGAGCAAGCGTGGTGATTATTGTTCAAACCTTCTCCGTATGAGAAGAAACCTTTATTCAGCAGTCGGAATTTATACGCTGACAAAAATGTGATTCCCTTGAAATGATTCTAATTGTAATCTATTTAATTTGATTTGCAGAAAATTTGTATGTTGGTATATTTCATTTGGAGAGAGGATTAAAATTTAATTCGCATCCGCCTTGAAATGTAGTCCTTGGCTATATTTTAAAATTATCAAAACTATAAATAACAAACCAAATATTCAAATTCATGTTACTAGAACCAGTTTATTAGATAGTGGCTCGTGTATTGTATTAGAGTATTAATTTAAGATAACCCTATCAAAATAACAATTTATAAAATTATTGATTTCGGAATTCCCAAAAGATAACAAGTTTACTACTATCAGCAACTAATTCATCATTGATTAGAAATAATTGCGTGCCAATACGTGAATTTCATTAATTAAGTATTGTGATTTTTGTTCTGTCCTTTCACGAGACCTCGTGATTTCGGACCTTTGGAAGGCGTACGACGGGCCGAAGTCAACTCGCAGAGGTCCGTTGAAGAATTTTAATCTGAAGGTGATGGGACATCAGCCGGCAATTATCCTTAGATACACTATGAAAGTGGACACAAGAACAATCACCGGTTGATGCAGGATTATTCTGAAATGTGGACTAAAAGACAAGGTTATGGGTAATGATGGATGGCTTTGGACTAGAGGACAAATATTATAAATGTACTAGTGGTACTTTGAAGAATTCGAAGTATCTTGCATTAGGCATCTTTTTTTGAGTGGGGAAAATCATCAATTGTCTTTTCTAGCTATGGGTCGAGAGGGAGTACTCGTTCCTTCTTCTTCTCCAGTCCGAGGCCATGGTTCATAATTGTGCTGTCCCGTACCCTTGTCAGTAGTAGTAGTCACTTGTCATTTGATTTTTATATGGTATACGTCGACAAACGAGCAGAAGGATTCCAGTGATGGTAAGCATTCATCGCCGTCCATGGGCACCCGCAACACCTAAGGAGTTACGAGTGCCTTGCCGGCCTTTTAGGGATAAGGGTTTCAGATATTTAGAGATTGGGAAGGGATGGAGGGAGGGGGACGGATTAGGCCTCCGGTAACCTCACTCACACGGCGAAATACAATGTAGTAGTGGTTTTATCTCGGTGTTCTGTGAGGCCGTGGTGACACCGGTCGGCTGACCAATTCGTGCCGAAGCCTGGCTCTCCCATACCTAAAGTTAGACGTATGATATTGTTACACGAGTGACGTTCCGGTGCCATCTATGTATATACGTCTACATTTAACTAAAGTTACTTCTAATATAATCATCATATACATCGGCAAAGATTGATGGAGCCGACATTTACTCCTCTGAATTTGATCGTGGAAGCTTCATTTATTTTGTTAATCATTTATTATTTATAAGTTTTATGAATAAATATTACCTATTATTCCTATTATGAATTAGGTAGTCTAATGAATATTGAATGAAATAAGGTAACTTCTCGTTTATTTCTGGGGTTTTCATTTGGATTTGTGCATTCTGTAACAGATTATATGTTTTCTGAACATATATATGTAATACGTTTTATAAACTATACAATACCACTTTTCTCAGGAATCCCATTATCTATTGGTGAAAAATTTAATGAAATTCCGTCCTATTGGATTCCATGATTGGGGAAGATAAGTCTTCACACTTGTTCTGTGTGACGCCATGGTTATTATTCCAGTCGAACAGAGCACGCGCTGAAAAATGGCTCTCAAACAGATATGATCTAGATTATAAAAACTAATATTATAAATGCGAAAGTAACTCTGTCTGTTTGTCTGTTTTTTCTTCACGTCTAAACTACTGAACCTATTTGTGTGAAATTTGGTACAGACATAATTTGGAACTAGAGAAAGGACATAGGATAGTTTTTAAACCAAAATCCGCAGGCAGTCACTAGTCCACGCAAACGTCGAGGGGGGAAAAGATAGTATTATAATTATATTATTTAACGTACTTGAGAGATCGGGAGAAGTTATTAGATGATTTTCGCGTCACAAAAAAAAAAACCTACGAGAGATGGAAATGGTTCATAATACGGCTTTGCTTGATCAACGAGTAATGACTTCGCATTTATTGATCTTATTGTTTTTGTAAATCGACTAGTCATTATTTAGAAATAATCCGACTCATTAAAAATATAAGATAATTCCTATGAAAGATTAGACAGATCAGATAATACCTAGAATTAAATATTTTGATCTAGATTTTTGTGTAGTTTAAAATTGAGATTAAATAATAATGTTATAATTTTGATAATTACGTGTTTGATATAATTTAATTTTATCTTATTTACGTCAACATAGATTAGTGATAGATTGTATTCATAATTATTCTTATGTTATTATTATTCTTATTACCATGTTTACTATGTTGCCTATTTTATCAAGGCTATGTATGTCCTGAAACTTAAGCTTATACATCAGGTCTAATAAAAATATTTAAGAAGAACGAGATGGTTAAGGTTCCTAATTAATCGTTTCAAGCAACAATTCTAAAATCCTGGTAAGCAGAAAGCTAAAAATCTATTCAGATTCTAGGATAGATTTGTTTGATAGTTTTTTCTATTTTAAGTTCTCGTTCGTAAATTTCGTGTTGTTACGATTTTTATGAGCTCACGGACCACCTGATGGTGTGCAATTGATACCCGCAACACTAAAGGAGTTCAAGTGCGTTGCCAGACTTCTGTTACTTCACTCAAACGGCGAAACAACTCTGTGGTTGTTTTACGCCGTTTTTCTGTAAGACCATGGTATCACTCCGCACTCGCCGACCGACGATCAAGATTAATAAATTTTTTGATGATCTTCTAATTAATGATTCAAACTAGGTTATTGCACAACTATTAGTAACCTCGATGACGATATGGTAATCTGGCATAATAAGTCATTATTACTATCAATAAAAATAAAATCATCAACTATTTGTGGCTAGCAAATGTAATTGGTATTTATGTCGCAGCCAACTACATAGCTTAGTTAACCTTTCAACTAACGGACTGAAAAAATGTTTCATTAAATTACTGAATTCCTTATATATAATGTACCGCAGCCCTAGTTTGGAGCAGGAGAAGGAAAGAGGTGGTATTTAGTCAGTAAGAGACTGACTCTCCTTTTGCCACTCTTAGAGCGGAAGAAGTCAAACGATGATTTTCGGACGTCAAAAAAGAGTTTGGAACTGCAACCCACACAGAAGTTGAATTTCTGTCACAAAAAATAGTTAGGTACCAGATAAATACTGTGATATAATTTATTCAGCAGGATAGGCTGTTAACTAAATAACTAATTAATGTAATTGGCTACGGCACACATAAAATCTAATGTTTTTATTTGGTTGTTATATTATATTTAATTAAGTATGTACCTAATTTTATTTTATTATCAGTGTCTGCCAGTCGCCCAACCCGCAGTACTAGAGTGAAAAGTTGCCTATGTGTTATTCGAAACGATAGATTTACCAAATATTCAACGATAGATAATTTAAATTTCTAATCTGTAGTTTTTATGGGAAAGAGTATCAAATATTTAAAATATTTTCGTTAGTTACGATTGTATTATTGTGTCTGTAAACAGCTTGATTGTTTTTGATGAGATGGCTTTAGACTGAAAGATGTTATGTATTCGCGAGATTGCAATTTGTTATTTTGACTGCACTGTTTGCATAGCGACGGACTTTGCAGTGAATTGATTGCTACGCAACGAGTTCCAGGTTCAATTCCCACACGGAACAACTCATTATGTGATCCACAAATCGTTGTTCCGGATCTAAGTGTGATGCGTATGTGAAATTGTATGTTTGTAAACGCACCCACGACAGAGTATAATATATAATACTTGTGTGCACCGAAGTTAATAAAAAAATATGCAAACACAAACAAATTTGAACTTGAGTGCAAAACTTGGGTCAAAACTGTAAAATGAAGTGAACTTTATAATAATTAGGTACCAATATTCAAATAAAGTAAATATTGTCTAAAAAATCGCGTCCTAATTTGTAACTAAGACCGCTTTTGAAATTTCACTTCAAATTCACAATTAGAATTCTTATCTATATTTAGAAGACACTCTCTATTTATAATGGTCAACGAAATAAATGCTACTTGAAGATGGCGAACGAATTTCAATTTCAATGCTTTGTTTTGATAAGTAAAACGTAATATTGAAACGATTTCTCGATATTGCTCTGTCTGTAGAGGCGCTGAGTCTTTTAGTGTTATCTTTTAGAAAGCACTTATATAATGAAAGAGAACGGAGTACTTTGGGCAAAATGCTGGTAGTTTCGAAGCTCCCAAGCTTACTGCGTTATACTGATTTTGTTTTGGCAGATACGCCATTTAATTGATTGGAAAATTAAAGAGATTTTGTATTGCCTAAGTAGGTATTTACAGTAAAAGGTTTTTCTAAATTTAGAGCAATAATTGTCTCATTGAGGCCGATAGGTCAAGTGTGGCTATTAAATACAAGTTTCAAAGCACAATTATTGGGTCAAGGGTCTATGATTCCGGGGTTGCGCGGTAAGCACAATGAGGCACCGCGACCTCGGCCCAGAGCAGGAGAAGGAACAGGGGGGTTTTTAGTCAGTAAGAGTCTGACACTCCCTCCCACCCGGCCATGGACGGGAGAAGTCAGTTGATGATTTTCCCCTCACAAAAAAGGGTCTATGGTTTCACGGGTCAAGCGCAATAAGGTTCAGCGGCCTCGGCGTGAAACAGGTGAATGCATGGGGGTTTTTAGTCAGTACGAGTCTGACACTTCCTCTCCCGTCTAAGTTGTATGTTGTAAGAAATTTAAATTAAGCAATAACTTCTTGGATAGTAAGTGATATTTAAATGATAATGTAAACAATATACATCATTGTTTAATATAAAGGCAATTAAGCCCCAACTACAACTCTACACTGACCACAAAATTTAACATCGCCTGATAGTTGTTATAGCAATTACAAACTTATTATTTAAGCCGTAAGCTCCTTTATGTATAGCGAGGAATCTTGGTGGAAACTTCCAGAAGTTCATTAAGACGCTACGGTTTGCCTGCATCGGTCAAAGTTGGGCTCTCAGACATGCTCGAGCACCTTTAGATGCCGTCTTAATGTTGCCAACTAGAGATGTACCTGCCCTCCTTCTGCCCTCCAGCACTTTCGTTATTTTATCCCCGACGAGCTTAGTGAGTTAAACCGAGGGTCACACTTTGATGTTACTTGCTAAGTATCTACTAAAACAGTTTCATGATTAACTTTTTCTTAAGTCCCCAACTTGGTGATCTCAGATAATTTATAAGATAAGTACTTACAAAAAGCGGTCTAAAGTCCATTCGAAAATAATACAAACACTTACCAAACAAAGACAAACGAAAATTTTTAAACAATGAAAAAATTTTCCCTTCTCCTTTGTCTCGTTATAATGAATACCTTCGAAGGATTCTTTTCGCATAGTTCTGATAAAGAGGAGCGTCGAAACTTCAAATTAAGATTCTTGGAGTTCCGCGCAAGGGAATAAGATTAATGAAGGATGGCACCTGGGGGTCGCGGCCCCACTAACGATAGCACCAGGTCAGAGGGGAAATAACCGTTAAAAATAATAAGCGGAAAAAACTCGATCTTAGGTACTCGCCTGCGTAAAAATATAGCTGCTAATAAATTCATTAAATAAATTCTGGAATATTCAATACAACGGTGCTACAGGGACGTGCCCAGATAAGGTACGCGATAAATCTACAATTAATATTTTGTTAAAGGAAAATTCTATGGAAGATTTTAGAAAGTAAAATCGAATATTGTAATTTATTCACATGTTAGGTGAATTAAAGATTTCTACATAAAGACTTATAAAGAAAAAAGAAAAACAACATCTTATTTACTTACATAATAGGTGACATAAAGAAAATTATTTTTAAAATGCAACGAAGAATTATTTTCTATAATGAGTATTAAAAATAATAAAAAGGTAATAAATAATAAAAAATAATGAATATACATCTAAAACAATCCCGTAATAGTTTTCTATTCAAAGCCACTATTCTGGCGCATTAGAGCGTGCGTTAATAAGACAATATGTATGTATGTGTCTCAAACAATGAGAATAATAACAGCGCATAATGGGGAATGAGAAAATTGCTCGTTGACTGCCACTAGCCTGAATATCACAATGAGACGAGACAACAATAGCCTAGGACCTATATTCTCGAGCCTAGAGTAGCGAATTTAATGAAACAAAAACCGCTTTGGAACTCACTGTTGAACAGGGGGTGTACGCAAATTGGAGGCGAATGATGTTGGTATAGACTTGGTGAACTTAATGTAACGTTCTTTGTCAGACGAGCAGTTTTTTACTCGTCTGCTTTAGTTTAGATTGGCTGTACTGCGAATGAAGTGAGCGTTAATCAAAGAACTCTATTGTGAGCGATAGATCCTACAATGTTCGCGTCTCATCAGGCTTGCCCTATTATGTCAGATGTATTTTTGAAACAATGCGTTCGTATTCAAAACGAGTTTTGCTGACTCGAGCAGTTTGCAACTTTAGAATGATGACTTTTAGGATAAATTTTTAGCTACCTTCTAACAATTGAATTGTGTAGAAAAATCAACGATACTAGTGTTAAATTTATGAAGACACTTATGGAACTTCGCTATTGAAGTGAACTCTTTCAAAACGAATCCGAACGATACGGTTTTTAACAACGGACCTATCTATTAAAACAGATCGCAGATCCACAACAAAAGCTAACAATGCACAAATCAGCTGACAATGTAACTATCGACGCGCAACTGTAGTTTATACGAGTACGCAGTTTCATACAGCTATAGTGCACTAAAGCTGTGCTCTGGCGGATTTTTATTACTTTTTGCATGTCAACCGTGAAGTTTATGGACGCAATTATTGTTGAAACACGCGGTGAGATTTATAGCAACAATCACAGTGATGCTCCGATAGTGTAGTTCAGATTGTTTGATCATCATTAAAATATCGCCAAACTTGCTGACTTTATTTATATGTTTGTTATCCGGAGACACTTTATTGAGTTGTTTAATATTCTTCAAAGACACAGACATCGTAAACATTATGAATCAGTTTTTTTTTTTAATACGGCAACTGTTAATGTTTACACTTCTTGTAAGCTTGTTACGAACATAACTGTTAATCAGGCGATACGTAAATAGGTACTGGGAGATACTTTATAAAACTTTGGAGCATGAGAATCTTGTTCCAAAGACGATACATCGTTTAAATGGAAAACACATTGTACGAGAAAGTTCAACAACTTCAAGGAATCTTGAAAGCCGCTAAGACCCCGACATTTCATTGCGAGGAAAAACAAGACAATGCTTTTAACAGATTCTAATGTGAGAAGTCCACAGCTCATACATTCACGTTTTCCGTAAAGAGTTTTTCCGAAAGTTTCCCGGTAATATTTATAATGGGGTTAGTCTGGTTCAAAACCTGGCAAGTCAACGATGTCACTTTTTCTAAGTTATGTGTACTTTCTAAATGTATTTAGATGAGACTGAAAAACCGTAAACGAGAGAATCGTGATTGCGATGTAATCTGGTCTTTTAAAATCAAATTGTAAGTTTAAAATCGTCTTGAGAAAGCGTAGTGATTAATGCTCAAACCTTTGCTGTATGAGAAGAGAGAGAGAGAGACCTTTGCTCATCAGTGGTCACTTATAGGTTGATGATGATGATGATGATGATGATGATGATGATTTATAAATTATCTGATTATGTGACAAGGGCAAAGATTAAAACTAGTTTTACGATCGGCCGTGATGCTAATGAAAGATAAAAATTACGTGAGTTGATAACTGATACGGATATTGATAATTGTCATTTAGGCTTAACAATGATAGTATGTAGATAATACTTATAACAATATGTTTACGCCAATGTTGAATGGACAATACATATTTGAAACACAAATCTTACAGATAATTTACATATATTATTTACCTACATGTACTTTGGAGTTTGTATTATTATTATTTTTTTGTGATGGATTAACTGATGGTAAGCAACTAGAGCCACCCATGGATACCCAGAGGAGGCCACCAGAGTGCCATCGTAGAAGGATGGCAACGCATTATCTGAGTGGCAATGATAATTTAATAAAAAATGGCCTCGCTTGTTTAATAATTAATATGGCTGCACAATTATGCAGTTTATTGATGTGATAGATATTTGATTTCGCTGTGGGTCACAGTTAAAACATTAATAAACCTTCCATTCTTTTAGCAACTTGGTTTTCATGACAACCTCCTCACCATTTAACTAATAGCTGTTTTGATTACTGATGATAATCAGTAATCAGGAAAAGTAATATAATAATTATTATATAGTAATAATTATTATAATTATGTGTGTTCCTTTCCACTCACGGGACCACAGGGTCCCGGACTTTTGGAAGGCGTACGAGGGGCCGAAGCCAACTCGCAGAGGCCCTTTGAACAACTTTAATATAAGTGAAATGGGACATCAGCCGGCAATTATCCCTGTATGCACTATGAAAGTGCACCCAAGGACAATCCCCGGTTGATGCAGGACTATTGCGAAATGTGGTAAAAATTTAAAGGGTTATGGGTATGGGTTGCTATGGACTGGTGAATATGATAACTATGGAAATACTATGGCCCCTGCCCCTGACCAATATTGATACATACGGATAAACAGGCAGGGGGTGACTGGCAAACTCAATTAATGGGCCCCCGGAAACGGCCGCTAGCATGTAGCGACAAGGGGGCAACATACGTTGAGCTGCTTGGGGAAGGAGAGGTATCCCACGGCTATCAGAGCAATCCCGGAAGTACGGTCAAGACCTCTACCAGCATCTTACTGAGATACATCCTTCCCCCGAGTCTCCTTCAACTCCTACTCTTGCGAATCTCCACTCAAGCCAGCCAATTAAGGCAAGAATGAGGTAGGAGGGCTTGTTCTTCATCAGTGTTCACTCCAGCTCGTCACGAGGACTAACCGGAGAGAGAAGAACAAGACACCTCCCGGGAGTCAGGTCCGTGGGGTCGCCACTGCCCAACAGCTCGCCACAAGCTGCCTTGGGCGAGCTGTTGGGCAGCCTAAATTATTATTATATATAATAATTATTATAATAATATTAGTAATAATTATTATATTACTTTTCCTTGCAACGACAAAGTAATGAAAACCTGTAATTGTTGTTTATATTAGCTCTAGTTCCTAAGTAGGTACATACCATTGTTAAATGCATCCACTTTTGGTTTACTTATCAATAAATAAATAATCAATTACACCGCTGTAACACATGTAAAAGCGTCAACGTTTCTAGTCAAATACGTCATAAATTTAAATCACCCACAAAATATATTACACATCGTTTTGAATTGAAGGTTGTTATCAAACAGTCATTTTTTTACTCACGTCATTAATAAGAGATACCTATTTTTCATAAAACTTAGATTTGCTAAGCCATATCTAATGTCTAAGCTTGAATAATGAATCATGAAATACCTTAATCGGATATTTATCTATTGTCAGATTAAAATGTTCTGGAACGAAATGCAGTAAGTAAATAATCTGTGATTAATTAACCCCCCCCCATAATTTTGCGATTACCTAAAGACCGATTGACTTACTGTCATTATCACGTAATTATAATATAACCTTCACTTTCAATGAATTTTGTTTGAAATTGGAACTTACCTAGTGGTCAATCTGTAATCCTATTTCAATGTTATCGTACGTAATAATAATAATTAAGATGGATGCTTCTTGCTCTTTCACGTTAAAACTACTGAACGGATTTGAATAAAATTTGGCACATAGATAGATTATAGTCTTGGTTAACCTCTATGCTACTTATGATCATGGTGGTAAGCGATCTGCTGCGATGTGATGGCTCAAACTTCTCGTAGTACATATTATGTATTCTTATGTTATGATGCCATACTTGACATTGTTTACGATGCACGAAAAGCAGACAGACAGATTGCCTGATGTTAAGCAATCGAATCCGCCTAGGACATGCGTTGCCCTTTTGCGGATAAGGGATTGTGAGGATTAAGGGAGTGGGGAGCATTGTATTGGCCCTCCAGTAACCGCACTCAGACAGCGAAACAATGCTCTAGTTTCAAAACGATGTTCTGGCAAGCCGAGGTATCACTCCGGTCGAGCCGGTCTCAAGAATGGCTCTCCCATATTTGCAAATGATTAAGTTGACGAAGTTTAACATATGGATACTCTTTTATTTGTAGTAAATAAATGGGGTACTTTTTAATCGGTTATGTGAGTGAAACCAATAAACCATACGTGTTAATAAATAAGTAAAAACGTGTGACGTGTCCATCGCCGATCGCAAGTTCACCTTATCAATTTGCATGTTTATAGAAATTCTTGTAAGCCCTATGTAAATTCACACGTCCACCATAAATGATTTACGTTATAATGAAGATCATGAATCATTGGCCATCGTGACTGGCCGTAATTGCTTTGCCAATCGAATTAATTCCTTCGCTTAGTATTTTATGGTGCAGTTTTTGTAATTGATTCCATTGGGTTATCAATAACTTTAAAATGTGTTTATAGTGGCCATATTTTTGAATGTTTATTGTCCAACGTTACGTAATATATAATGGTGTCTGCAATTTATAAGGGTATTACAATTGCAAGTGTTTGTGCATCATAGTGCGCGTAGACTTTATTGCATTCTGATAAACGTTTCAATGTTTATTGCTTCAAGTTTATATTTGCTGCAGTCTTATCGTTTCACTCGACTTCCTCTAAGGAGATAATAGAACTTAGATAACGTATTGCGGTGCTTTGGACTTTATGGTGACGTATGATAGTCATTTGTTCCCTTATTCCTAGTTACAGACTATCTTAAAATGTGACGAGAATTATATTTAGTGACCTCCCTGAGTGAAGAATTCCGAATTATAAAACAAATTACCCTGGGGACAGACTGCCCTCATCAGTGAAAATGAAACGGTAAATCCATTGTACTGAAGACAGCGCAAATATTACTTATTTCCACACACCATATTGCCATCTCATCTGACAAAATAAAATTTTTACAAGCACTGTTTATCCAGATATGTTTTCAGCGAAACTCTTCAGGTTTCAACAAATTATTCTTTGTATTAAAGCGACCCGAGATATTCGTTTTTATTACGACAATTTCTTATATTTATACGTCAAAAAAGCAAACTCGTGTACCTTTGGAGTAATAAAAGGTAATGGTGGTAGGCGAGGCGTCGTATCGTTTTGTCAGTGGAAGCTTGAATCTCTGAGGTGGAGTCATTTTGTTGGGATTACGGCTTCATCCCCGAATGAACATTAAAAACAAGAATCTGGTCATTTTCAGATTGTCTCAGGGTAATTACATGTTTATTAAAACAGGGGTGAAACACAGATCTGTTTTGTTAGAATGGTCGAGAACAAAGCTCAATGTGCCGTTACGAAAGTAGAGTACCAAACAAAATAGAAATAGTTTTTTTATTTTAGATTAAATTTTGTACTAGTAACAAAAATTGCATGTTTCTTTTAAGAAAATTTACCGTTGTTACACCTTCACCAGATTATATTTGTAATAAATAATCCATTCGATTCTGTTATCCTCTCCCGGTACCATACCATTTGTGCTATGTATACATCTTGACGCTGATGGCAATTTTATCATAAAATAAAACAATTTGTTGATATTGATATGACGGTTACGATCATTACTTTTTATGATAACTACCGGATTCACGCGGACCCCTGCTCTCAATAACAATAGTAAAATATACTTGTTTATTGGCTGTATGTACAGAATGTTGCACTACCAGGAAAATTGTTGGGTTTTCTTGCGATATAAGAACGCGATAAGGGCTGGTATCGTTAAGTAAATGTTATATATGCATTTCTGATTGTACTTGTTTTCTGCGTTTTGTAATAGAGGAATCTTAGTAGCCGTATAGATGAAATATGCTACAAAATATATAGAGATGTAATGTACTGTGGCCTCGGCCAGGAGCAGGACAAGGAACTGGGTTATTTTCTCACTAAGAGTCTGACAATCCCTCTCCTATGCCACATCCTGGGCGAGACAGATTTTTGATGATGTTTACAGTTCCTACACTTCCTAAAAAGTAATTATTGGTTTAATTCATTAAGTTCTCAAGTTCAAAGATTGATGTTGTTGGTAAAGCAGCAGTAAGGCGTAAAACCATACTACTTAGGACTATATCACACTTATTTTAAACTTAGCATTCTCCTAATAGTTAAGTCAAGGAACCTTCGTATTTTCTTTATCTTCAAGGGAATAATATTTTAAGCCAAAATGTTCTGTAATTGGTGTCATTTACGGTTCAACACGTTCCGTTTTAAAGATTTTAAGTCCATTTTTGAGTGAATAGATCTGTTAATAATGATTATCAGCAATATAATAATCATTAAATAAATCTTTTTGAACGATAAATGGGTATGTGACTTCATAAAAATATATGCTAGCATAATAAAAAATGAATTATCCGTATTAAAGTTATTGTTATGAAATGTTGATAATAAACTTAAAAAAAAGTTGTTTCGCATTTTGTGATATTAGTATCTTAATAATGATTCCTCACATTACTATTTGAAGGGCATCTGAGTTATAGATTTTTTTAAATTATATATTGTTTTTCAAGATGGTCACACGATGGCTCTGACATATACTATGTAGAAAAATCTCTTAATATAATAAAGAGAAAAATAAAAATGGGCACTATTTTATCTCTGAAATCAGATTTCCATTATTGATTTTTTCTACCATTATTATCATTGTATTTTTTTACTTTTCGAAAGAGAGTTAGAAAAATAGTAAATTATAATTTATGTCTTTTAGGCCTCCATAGGGCTTTCATCTTTCTACTTAGTAAAGGCTTGAACATTCCAAAAGTTTTGTGCTCACATATTTTTACTTTGGGATGCTGAAATTTTGTCTATTCCATTTTTTTTATTTTTAAATGAAGTTTGCTTTTCCGCGCGACATCGTCGACAAGGGATCGCGCCATGTGTACGCTTGCGATCCGCTTTTTCACGCTCCCATAACTGAATTACTGATACACAAACTTGTTTATGTGAGTCGTTTGAATCTTTTATGCATTGGAATAAAGTTGAAAATTCCTGTAAACAAGTTTGCATAAAAGTTTGTGACACAACGGGAAACTCTCAAACGTCCCGTGGGCCCGTCCGGCCGGCAGTGCGCAAAACATTGGATCCCTTCAAATATTAATTGTTCAACGTGCGTTCGCAAAGATTTTAACTTTGAAGATAATTCTTCATTAATATTAGTTTTCTACTTTATTTTTAATGTATAAAGGCTCAGATTACTTCAAAACAACATTACTTCAAAATTCTTTAGCAGCATTGTTTTAAAGTATGGGAGAGCCAAGCTTCGGCACGATGTGTCGGCTCGACCGGAGTGATACCACGGCCTCAAAAAAAAAAAAACCGACGTGAAACAAAAAAAGCGTGTTTCGCCGTGTGTGTGAGGTTCCTGGAGGTCCAATTCATCACCTCCTACAATCCCTCCCAATCCCTAAATCTCCAAATCCCTAAACCCCAAAACGTTGACAACGCACTCCTAACTCCTCTGTTGTTGCGGGTGTCCACGTGCGGCGCTGATTGCTTCATCATCATCATCATCAGCCGGAAGACGTCCACTGCTGGACAAAGGCTTCCCCATTAGCTCTCCACGTCGAACGACAAGTTGCCACCTGCATCCATTGGCTCCCCGCGACTCTGACGATGTCGTCGGTCCACCTAGCGGGAGGCCTGCCCACACTACGTTTTCCGGTCCTTGGTCTCTAGGACTTTTCGGGCCCATCGACCGTCCGTCTTTCGAGCGACATGGCCTGCCCATTGCCACTTTAGCTCTGAAAAATAAAATCTGCTGATTGCTTACCATCAGGTAATTCATCTGCTCTCCTGCCGACCTATCACAGACAACTTATACACAATTACCTATATTATATTTATATACCTAATTGGTTTTCTACTTTATTTTTAATGAACAAAGGTTCAAACTCTTTTTCGTTTAAACAACATTGCTCCTAACTACTTTGATAGTCTCAATTTTATAATGAGTTCTATATGACAAATATTTTTTTATGAGATATTCAAGACTATTTAGAGGTTTAATGTAACATGAGATATAAACTATAAATTCGAAAGATATAACGTTGACATTTTTATTGACAGCTATAATAATACAATGTAAATAATTTGTGTATATAATTTAAATCGCAAAGTAATAAAATTAACTGGATTATTTTCAAATTATAGGGTGATGCGATGTATACTAATTATGGCGATGAACCGGAACGAGTTTGCGAACTTGAATGCCAAGGATTGAAGGGGCTCCCTGCCAGGCATGAGTTCGTGGGTCCTGTGAAAATAATACTAATTGAATCAACGCCTATGGACTACAGACGTAAAGTATGCTGGTCTGCAATGTTCGCACTGGCTCTTCTGTTCATGGGAGTTGCTATTTTCACAGTGATTCTCTACACTATGGCTTTCAAGCTGCCATTCTGGATGAACTTACATATTGTCGTTTGTACAATAGGCGTAAGTACTTCAGTAAAACGTATTCAATGCTGTATCATATCCGATTTGTCAACGAATCGAATACGAATCTTTTAATTGTTCAAAGTTGAATATATTGACACGAATAATTTGGTACCTATTATATATTCTTAGTTAAAATACATCTTTATTCTACTACAGTATTACACCAAGTGAATTTCTAACCCAGCCAGCCAGAAAACCAGAGAGAATATACAAATGTAGCCAATTTAAATGTACTGCTTATTACCAAAGATAAGGCAGTTTTTCAAAAGGTGTTCGCAACAGTCTGTTGAATCAAAGTTTTATGATTTTTTGTTTTTAAAAAACGTTGCCCCGCTCTAGGATTTTTTCCTGTGTCGTGGGTGCGACTACAAATATACAATTTCACATACACATCACACCCAGACCCGGGACAAAAATTTGTGGATCACACAATTTATAGAGTTGTTCCGTGCGGTAATCGAACCCGCGAAACGTTGCACGGTAGCCATTGCCCAACCGTGCAGTATCGCATCCGTGCGAAACCAAAGCGATATATACCTATATTCTAACCCTAATTGTAATTATAATTTGTATGTATATTATGTTTATAGACCATTTATCTCAAATTTAATATAAAACTGTTATATTATTTAAATTCTATATACGTATTGGTAAGATATATATATATATATATATATATATATATAAAAGAAAGACGTGTTAGTTACTCCACTTATAACTCAAGAACGGCTGAACCGATTTAGCTGAAAATTTGTAAGGATGTAGCTAAAAATTCGGAAAAGGACATAGGATAGGAGAGGATAGAGTAGGTAGTGTAGGTTAGGTAAAGTAGGGTAGGTAGAATGGGGTAGGTAGAGTGGGGTAGGTAGAGTAGGGTAGGTAGTCAAATGATGGGAGTGACGCCACGAGTAAGAGCTAGTTTATTATATTGTTTTGGTGTTCTATGTTCATGTTGCATATATATGTGTGTACCTATGCTAATTTATAATTTGTGTGCTTGTTAAGACCCTATTGTTAACACTTCTCTGCATCCTTGCGGAGTTGACTGGTAGAAAATGCCTTCGGGCAGAATTCTTTGTATTCAGAATGTACATAAAGTATTAAAAAAAATAAATGAATTTATCTGTTACAGTTGCAACTGTTCAATTCGATGGGTATCCTTATGTACAGTACATTATTCGGGGGAGCCCTGTTCCTAAATCAAAGTAGCAGGAAGTTTCAGCATTTTCTATTACAAACTGCCTCTGTTATTTGTGGCATCGCTGGCACAATAATGGTTCTGACCAGTATGACATGTTCCCTCCATGCGCTGTCAGGTAAATATTTTATTTTATAGAGTTAAGTGTTATCAGTAATATAAAATTTGTGTGTGTGTGTGTGTGTGTGTGTGTGTGTGTGTGTGTGTGTGTGTGTGTGTGTGTGTGTGTGTGTGTGTGTGTGTATGCATGCATGTGTGTGTGTATGTATGTGTGTGTGTGTGTGTGTGTTTTTTTGTTTGTGTGTACGGTTACCTTACAAAATACTACAGAAAAGTTGCAGAACAAAAGCCTCACTTTGAGAGAGAATTTGTGAGCAATAATCACCAATGCACACGGCAGATTGGTAATGTTAGACTTGTACAATCGTGAAATTAGAAATGAGAAGTCCTGGTTTTCTAAACTTATCATCAGTACGTTTCCGTGCGTTCCTATGTACTGCTAAACATAGGCTTTATGTTATTGATGTCGTGGTGGCCCGGAGGTTAAGAAGCCCGCTTCTCATTCATGAGGGTGTAGGTTCGAAACCTGGCAAGTACCAATGTGACTTTTTTCCGAGTTATATGTACTTTCTAAGATTATTTAGACACCACTGACATACGGTGAAGGTAAACATCGTGAGGAAACCTGGACTTATAATTTCTAATTATAAGTTTGAAACCGCCAACCCGCATTGAGCAAGCGTGGTGATTAATGCTCTAACCTTCTCTGTATGAGAAGAGGCCTTTACTCAGTAGTGGGCACTTATAGGCTGATGATGATGAAACATAGGCTTTAACAATTGCACGCCACTGGGATCAGTGTTCAGCTCTATCCATTTTGATTCCTTAAATTGACAACAATTCTTTTCGTATTAAATAATTCGATGTTAGATGCTTAAGATAATTAATGCTTACAAATACGTTTTTACAGGTTTACTTGGAGTATTGTTTGCAGTGTTCGCCGCTGTTCTTGGACCTGGAGCATATTTTTCGTCTTCAAGCAGAGCTTTCGGCCGGTTTAATAGGAAGATGCACATGCTGTTTGCTTTGCCTTCCTTTATATTTTGTACAGTATGCTTTGCAATGGTTTTTCTAGAAACTAAATTTATGAAATGGCTCGATGGTACTTATTACAATTTTGTATTGCTTCTGTTTACCTTGTTCTATTTTATATGTGTTTTAGGGTCCGTTTATATTAAAGGAAAGTATGAAACTTACTGGTGTTCGTTTTATTTTGTGATTATAGTTCTTTTTTTCTATGAACGGCCATGCCCTCTCTGGCTCAGGCCTCAGGCCTCTCAGGCCCTGGTCCTCAATCCTCAGATCTTCTATCCTTAAATCCGTGATAAAACTTACAAGAGCCCGGCAACGCTGTTGTAACTCCTTTGGTATTACGAGTGTCTATGGGCGGTGTCGATTTCTCACCATCTAGAATACGATGTCGGCTAACGACTGGACGGATAACTTTTTTTTTTTATTTTTTTTCCTCACAAAAAAAAATATTTTGGTTATCCGTCCAGTCGTTAGCTGAGATCGTATTCCATAAAAAATACTTCTGCTTTAATTTACCTTTCTACCAAATATAAGACTTACAAACAATATAAACAATTAATATAAGAAATGTGAAAGTTGAACCTTACTGTTAGTGGCCAGATATAAAACTGGGTAGGTACAAATCACAATTCTTCCTACTATTATTATATAAGGGTTTGTAAAAGTTTGTGAGAATGTACGTATGTATGTATGTTTATTATTTCACGCAAAAACGGAAAACATTGAAACAATTTGGTTGAAATTTATTAAGTAATGTAGATTCTTTTGATTAACAACAGCCTATCAGTTTTTATTCAACATACCACGCGAGCGAAGCCACGCGCGGATTCTAGTAAAATATAAACTTGTTGATCTAGCTAAACAGCTAAGTTAGTAAGTCCTAGTGGTTTCCTGGCGTCATGGTAAGGCGCTGGCACAATTGACAACGGCAACGCGCCGTGACTCTTCTGATGCAGATGGTGTCCATGGGTTGCTCGTTTGAAAAAAATTGGAACATACATATTTGCCGCTCTAAATATTTCCATGCTGCAAGCGAAGCCAGCACGTGGCTGTAGGAGTTATGTATATTTGTAAAAAGCTGCAACGAATACTTGTTTTTCCTGTTATGTAGTAAAGCTCCTCCATACTTTATCCGATCCGAATCCGTGAAACCACAAGTCTAGAAAACTTTCACAGAATAAGTGTGGGAGAGCCATGCTTCGGCACGGAGTGATACCGACCTCACAGAATACCGGTGTGAAACAACCACAGCGTTGTGTTTCGCCATGTGAGGGAGGTTACCGGAGGCCCAATCCTTCCCCTCCCCCAATCCCTAAATCTTAATATCTCCAAATCCCTAAATCTCCAAATCCCTAATACCTTAAAGGTCGGCAACAAACTCGCAACTCCTCCGTTGCGGGTGTCCATGGGCGGCGCTGATTGCTTACCATCAGGTAATCCGTCTGCTCGTTTGCCGATCTATTATTACACAAAAAAAAATCGTTTCAAGATATCTGATGATGGATTTAGTGCGGAATGTGACTTTGTGATAGATCATATTTTTACTACGCAACAAAGCGGTGTATGCAATGATAGGTACTATCTCAGAATACAGAACAATCTGTATTCTGAGGGTACTATAGAGCATAAAGTCATTTTTTTAAAGGTGAACTCTCATTAGGTCTAACACTTTACCGACACGAGGATGACATAGCCACGTGTACTATACCTCTAAAAAGATTCAGTTACGTTCCTTCGGTTTGACAACAAAATAATCTATACTACTCTCTGACTATACTTTATAGTAATCTGTGCATAGTGCACAGAAATTGACATAATGTACTTAAACATCTTTCCGTGTTGATAATTCTATTAGGTATATTGTTTATATATTGAATGGTTGTATAGTAAGTTTTTGTTTCATTTGATAAAGCGATGGGTGATGAAGAAGATCTTCAGAATGCTCGCCTTGGTTCACTAAATTTGTTGAATGTTGTCGATTATGATCATCAGCGTTCTTACTGTATAGGGGTATTGATATCAGTGTTTGCAGGCTTGAGCCATATTTTAATTGGCGCCGTGAACATAACAGTAATTATGTACTCCCATCGAACAACAGACTGCCATTCAGCATATTTCACAATCGCTGTAAGTGTGTATGTTTTTCTAATTTATTCAATGCGTGCGACTCCGGGATCGCACGCACAATGCATCATCAAAATCGGTTGCTTAGTTTTACATATTTAAGCACACATAGGGACTGAAAATTCGACTTTGTGTTATACTATGTAGTGATTAATAGCCGAGTGTTTTGAGGTTGGATTCAAAAATACCAAATTTTATTGCAAATAGAACGTTTTCGTATTCCCAGAATGGCAACAGAACACTAGAGATTCTCTTTTTTTTCGTGCTAGAGATTCTCTTTTTTGCGTTTAAGTTAAGTTGTAAGTATGAGATTGAATAAATAATAAATTCCTTAAGATTTTTTATACTAAATTCTTCCCGTGTTTCTATGTCAATTTTCACACTCATTTTCTCAGTAGTTCATTAGTGTTTAACCCAATTGGTCAAAAAATAATTTTTAACAAAAAAAACCGACTTCAAAAAGTAAACTAAAAAGCAAAAAATAAATTTACTTTGTTCAAAGTAATACATATTTTCATTTATTTAAATAGAAAATAATATTTAATAAGTATTTTATAATCTTAAAGTCGGTGCCAAGTGATTTCCTTATCATGAGACCATTCTGGGACTATCTCCTTTCCAATATAAAAAGTATTATCAAAATCGGTTTATAAATAACGGAGATATCGGCGAACAAACATAAAAAAAACATATGTACGGTCGAATTGAGAACCTCCTCCTTTTTGGAAGTCGGTTAAAAATTCGAAAGTCGATTACAGAAAAATAGATAGATTTTTTTGTATACGTCTGTTTAGAAAACAGACTCTTCCAGCGCTTTTTAAACATATTTTATTTTATTTTCAAATGTAAAGTATTCATGTTTATACAGCTTTATTATACGAATGATAGATGCGACGTATAGATGTTTTTTTTATTATCTTTTTGGTCTTGATTGTAATCATATTTTATCCCAGGAATATCCTACTCTGTCTTCCGAAGTCAAGAGCTCTTCGCGTCTCTGGATACCAACGACTCTGTCAGGAGGTTTGATATCAGGCATTCCGAGCACTTCCTCCTATACATTACAAATTCCTTGTTCATGATCTACAGCTAGTTTCATATTATCAAGTAAAATATTAAGTTAGTCAAGTTTGTCTTTTAAATATGGTATCTTTCTTCTTCTTCCGTTGGCCCCAACGCATTGTTTTCCCCGCGATCTCCCGCCATCTCTCTCTATTTGTAGTCTGTGTATAGCCGTCTCGTCTGACACAGGACTTCACATTTAATCTAGTTGGGTTCCTTCTACTTATCCTTGCACTACTAGCCGCTCTATAGATATGTTATGACGCCTGGAGATCTAGCCATAGTACTGGTGTATGTGTGTTTGTACATTATCCTTACTTTGATAAGTTAAGGAGGTTAAGGAGTTCTTAAGAAAGAAGGCTGAAGAATATTATGTTGCACACAAGGCAGAAAAGGTTGCATACAACCATTTGCCTGACAAATAAATTGCCAATTTAAATAAAAAAATATAAAAGCAATTATACGTCAAGTAATTCGTAAAGAAGTCATTATTGTCACTCTGCGATAGTAAAAATGTCAGCAATATCAGTATCGAGAATAAGCTATAAAATAATGCCGATATTCGTAAAAATTATACATGATCGCGTATTATAATGAACGGACCTGATGACGCTCGTAAAAGTACGGTACAAGGCCCCAAAGCAAGGTTTGCTTCCCCGTTTGAAACTGTTGTGATTGAGAATATTGATTATAAATATAGTTACGCTGTTTGCTGGGCGGCTGGGATAGGCATTTGTCACGTACTGATAGGTTCAGTTCTAATGGTTACGTACCTATATTCTATTCAGACAGGAGACTTGCATGCAGTAATATTAACTATGGCAGTAAGTTTATTGTATCTTTCTAAACCTTCAACTCTGGGGCCATGATCATCCTTTGGTTGTTTATATTTGCATTCCAATGTTAGGTATGTGCCTATGTTTGTGAAGAGTCATCTTGCAACTAAATTTTGAAGTAGTAACATCGACCCTATCATTTACATATAAGTTATAAAAATGTCTGTACAGTGTTTAGTCATCAGACTGATGCACCTGATTTTCAAATTGATTTTTAATTTCAATATATTACTTGGAGCCTGTTTCACAATGTCTTACGTACCAAATACATTTAAATAGAACATGATTTGTATGAGTTCTGTGCCTCATGAGCTTATCAGGTACTGATAGGAAGGTAGTGAAACAGGCACATAATCTCACCACCTCTGTATTTGAACGAGAGGAAGTAGACTTAATGAATTCAGCAATGGTTTATCCTTATTGGATCCTTATTTTCCAGTATAATTTCTTTGCTGCAGAAGCTATATTAAGCCTGAGTTTTGTAAATGGATGGGCCACACCTATGAGGTTTAAGCATCGAAGATATGTTCATATATTTCTTCAATTGTTTACAATTATTGTAGCAACTGGTGGAGTTATCATAATGGCAAGGAATTTGGAGATGCAGGGCACAATGCATTCGGTGACAGGTAACAACTCCATGAACGAGTACCTTGTAGTTAGCTATATGGTTGAACTATATTATTGCTAGGCGATTGGAAAACCGCAAAAACAGAAGCGCTAAATTACGCTTGTGTTGCTTGCCCCCCTGTGATGTTGCCCTCCACCCATCCTCGACCCCAAAAACGTCCAAATATGAAAACCTTAACCCAAAACGGTAACGCACTTGTAAGTCCATGTTTCGATAGCTTACCATCAAGTGATCCGTCAGCTCGTTTGCAGTCAGCCGTTATTCGTCATCCGTGTTAAAAAGGTATTATTTTCCAGGGCTACTTACTTTGCTGTTGACTGTGTTGAGTTCGTTAACTGGCCCATTCGCTCTGAAGGCGCCCATCAGGAAAGGTCCTTTCGTCCACTTACTGTGTGGAATACCCTGCTTCTGCAGTTCCGCTATCTGCCTATGCACTGGACTGTTGAAACAGGACTTCAAACGATGGGCAGGAAAACATGTAGTCTACATGTTGAATATTTTCATAATATTTTATACCACACTTATCGTAATAACTACATTAATGAAATGTGTAAACAAAAGCTAAGCTTAAATTTTTGTAATATTTATTTTTGTAATTTATATTATTACTTTAAAATAAATATTATTTTATGATTGACAATTGTTGTTTTGACGTTGAGCTAGTTCTTAATCATAATTTTGGGGTTAGGTGATGAAAAATTTGTAAGGTAGGATTTATTTCTAAAATGCAAAGGAGCTTTTTAATCTAAAAGTATAACCAGAATAAATGGAGCAGTTATGATTGCAAAGAAAGAGGCAGAGCGCGTGAGGGAGCTATCCTCCTCCTCATGCCCCAGCCGTTGTAGTTGGCAACACTCCGGGCGTCGGGGATCTCTGGCTTCCGTAAGCGCGTTTTTGCGGACGCCAAATAAGGGTAGCTCGTCACCCGAATAGAACCTTCTCTCGCCCAGGGTGAGGCGAGAGGGACTATCAAACTCTTATTAAAAACCCCCGTTCCTTGTACTGCTACAGGCCGAGAACGCGATACCAGATTGCGCTCTCATTGCAATCTAAAAAAAAGAACCTCACGAGAAGGGTTCTGTTGTCGTATTGTGTGTATACATAGACATACAAACAAAACTCAATTACAATATAAATAAAGGTGATATTAGATACTTAGCAGATTACGCTTTTATCTTTCAAATTAATCATTAGCGTTGTCAAATGTTACTGATTAACAGTTTCTTGATAGAGATAAGTCTGTGATATCTTAACATGTTTGCTGTATATCGGTTATCGTAATATAAGAGACAATGTAGGTGTGCTGTGACGTCACTGGTGCATACAATGCCAAACACTTATTATGAGCCTTATTTCAATACAATAACGGGTTCACGATCAGTCACAACTTTCAAACAAGACCAAGACAACCACTGGGTCTGGTTGTGCAACCTCGTTGCCACCAGATACCTTTTATGGATTTCTTGATGGTAAGCAATCGGCGCCGCCCATGGACGCCCGCTACTTCAAAGGCATTACGAGTGCGTTGCCGGCCTTTTAGAGATAAGGGTTTCGCATATTTAAGGATTGGGAGGGATTGGGCCTCCGGTAACCTCACTCATACGGCGAAACACAACGGTGTGGTTGTTTCACGTCGGTTTTCTGTGAGCTTGACTCTCCCACTCTTAAAAATCCCCATAACATTTATTGTATACATTTTGTTGGTTAATTAATATAATTGTTTTCGTCTGGTCTCTTTCAAGCTTGGGTTTGTTCGTGTGGTACCTATTTTCTGTCGTATACTCTTGAAGACGTAATCATGATCATGTGTATTTCAATATGTTAATTGCAGTTGTTACTTTACGTACACTTTGAAGAAGATTTGATAAGATCCATCCATATGATTGTATGTTGTATGTGATTGGTACCGATAATATTGGCCTTCTACCGTTCCTTGCAATATTAATCGCTCCAAGCAGCCTTCGTCACAGATGTGATAACTAAACACCTTCAAAATTCATCCTTGTCCAAATTACAGGTACAGTGAGTGTCAAAGAAGCAGTCATGCTCGCAAAGAGAGAGGCGGCCCGCGTGAGGGAGCAATCCTCCTCCTCACGCCCCAGCAGCCTCAACTGGCGACACTACGGGCGTTGGGGATCGAGGGACGATCTCCGGCCACCGTAAGCACGGGCCTGCGGTCGGCGAGTAAGGGCAGCTCGCCGCCCGACCAGAACCAGGCCCGAGCGTACGGCGCGCAGGGTTCCGCGCGCGCCTCAAAGAGTCATTCGACCACCACAGACGGGGCCCTAAAGGGCTGATGTTCAGCCGGGGTTGCGGGGTAAGCGCAATGAGGTACCGCGACCTCGGCACAGAGCAGGAGAAGGAACAGGGGGTTTTTAGTCAGTAAGAGTCTGACACTCCCTCCTGCCCGGCCCTGGGCGGGAGAAGTAATTTGATGATTTTCCCCTCACAAAAAAAAGTGAGTGTCAAAAGTATAGTTGCACTTTATCAATGCTAGTGCCCATTTTTTGTATAGTTGAGGGTCAGAGTCCTCGACTTATGACGACTAATTTGTAGCATAGATTCTAAGGTAATTAAAGACAGGTTTATGGTTTAAGGACTTGTATTACAAACAGGTTTTACATAATTTCGCAAAGGTTTTGCAATCGTACTTTTAACCCTAGACCTTAACCTTAACCTTAAAAAGATTCATACAGCCGATTCTGAAAATGTCAGTAGCGTGCAATACTTCTGGTCAAAATGTGGGTAAAATAGATAAAGTCAATATCGTTTAAATATTTTGATAAATGAAAATGATACGAATTTGCAATTTTTTTCTAATTAATCATATTTTATCACATTGACAAGGTTATCAAAGGCATATTTTATTTTCAATATTTATTTTCAATGCCGCTGTATTATATCCGAGGAAAAATCAACAATGAATGCTTTACGAACAATAATTTATAATCGCTTCAGTATCGTCTTAGAGCGAATATTCACATACAATAGAAAACTCGTTTCTGTCTTGCAAAATAGTTTCATTATTTTCTTTGAATAAAGCCTTGGAGTTACGGAACTGTTAATAATTGGATACGATTCAATTAAAATTATGCCTTCTTTATTTATATATGTTAGTCTATTTTACTGGTTCATCTCTGCTGATAGTTTGATATATTATTCTTTTCTGGTCTACTTAAATAATGCAGGCTTTATTCAGTGATAACCTGATACATGACTTACCTGCAATCTCATTCTACTTTAACTTTAGTCCCAAAGTAATACATTATTTGGTAAAACCCCTGTCTAAGGCAGCCTATAAATAACTTTATGGAGTGCTAGTCGTTTATCTAGTTGTAGTCATTTGAGTCGCTCGATAATATATCTACGTACGTCATGTCCTACCGTTTGTGGATCTAGAATCCGCCGATAGAATACGAATAATGTCGCAGTGGGCTCCCGGTCAAAGGTCCACACACTACTGGTACTAGTGTCGCATTTATCAAAAGATATGGTCGTACATCTCAAACATTAGCAATGGCAACAATACTCTATTCCAGAATGTGCGTATCGAGAGCCATTACTCTTCTCCGAGTTTCCTTTATATGTTTAGATGCCATAAAGATAGGTGGCAGCGCACCGACTGCTTATCTCTCCTGATCGCTTACCTACCTACTTTCAAATTTAACGATATTGCTTTTAGTTTTTATTGCGTGTCCCATACTTACTTATAGGTCCTTTATTACATTTACCAGTACATATTATTATCAGTACTTTTAAGGTGAATGCGTTATTAAATAAAAAAAACTCTCATTTCTTACTCAACATTAATTATATTATATTAAACATAACTATTAAACAAAATCTTAAATCTAAGAGTATCTTAATTTTGTACAAAAAATAAATGAATCTGCTAATTATACATTCAAGTTTATCACTTTAAATTTGGTTGCATTACACTACTAATAATCTTATCGCAATTTAGGTAGTTATAATTCGATTGAATCAGTGTTAATCTAGCGGAAAAGGAGCGTGTATTACATTGAAATTATTATGCAGTCTTAGTTTAGTGTAAGTATATACAAAACATTAAAAGTCTGTCACAAAAAAGATCTAGAATAAATTTTCATAATATTAATTACATTTAAATATTCTTCAGTTTGGTGAAGAAGTTAATAAGAGGAGTGGCTATGATGACGAATGTGAAGAAAGCGTTGAATCCGATGAGGACGTTGGACAAGGTGCTACCAGCCCATCCTGTGAACATGCCCTTGTCGATTCCGAAAGAGAGGCTGATGCAAGCAGCCAAAAAGGCTATCGTACCAGCACAGATGTGAGTCAGCTTCGACAGGTTTGATGGCAGGAATCGTCGGAACTCGTAGGCATAGAGCGACGTCAGTCCATTGACAAGACTTATTGTTGTGAAGACTAGAGCTATCAACGCTGCAAAAGGAATGAAAAATGAGTTTTTATTTTGTAAGATATTAATCTATGATTAATATGTCTTATGGTAGTTAAAATTGTTGCTTTCTGTGTATATATATGATTTTTTTGGTAAATTGAGATGGTTTTTAGGTAGGCACACTTGATTTGGCTATATTTTTTCTCACTGGTGATAATTGGTGTGAATAATCAGTACATAACAATAAGATTGAATTTAGAAAAGCACGATATCGCTTTTATTGTAGATTTATAAAATAAATATTTTATTTATTCATTTAAATATAACTTCTGCTGGATTTAGAGCCTATTGCATTTTATATAGTTAAGGTTTTGATAGATCATTTTGTTTGTATACCTTTATGCATATATAATAAGTTATAGATTAAAACGTCAATATCTGAGTTGCATACCGCACAAAAATTCAAGATTATTTGAAATTTATAAAATTTGCTATCAATTCACGCCTTGTACTGTTTTCAATGACATAGATATTACGAGTAGTATCTTTTTCAGAATTGTATTAAGATAAAGTGGTGAAGTGGATCTTACGTCACTTTTAAATCGACGACAATGTACGAGAAATCTCATTTTTATTGAATTTTATACTTATTAATGCAGCTAGTATTTTATTTACTTATTAGAGCAAGTTTTTTTATTCATCGTTTTCGTTTGCTTTGTTAAAATCCACGAATATTAATTAATAGGAAAAGAGATAAAAACATATGTACACGATTTTGGTGCAATTACAGTGCAGTAATTATGAAAGAAAAGGTAAAGGAGTTAATATAATACAACTTACCAAAGATTCCGTGATTAGTATTCCAATGAATGTTCTTGTCAATGATTTTAATGAAGCTGCCTACGATAGCCAGTACAGATCCAACAACTTGCAGGATCCAATGAGCACGCTTCTTGTCTACAAGTTTCAAGTGGGCTGACCAACCATTGTGGGGGGAAAGACTTAGAATGGCTTGAGCCATCAAGAGTTGGTACTGAAATAAAAAAATAGAATATATTTTTTTATATGTTTATTTTTTTTAATCATAATTATATAATTGAAAATAAAATCAACAATGATGTTAAATCTAAGACGAAAAGAATAATAAATAAAAATTGTTTACAACAATAAAAAAATACACTTACCCCAAGCACACATAAAATGATGTGGTCCTTGGTTTTTCCAGAAGGCAAATTAAATGCATAGGTTAATATGACACCCACCACTATTCCTATTAAAGTATGGCATATTATGTTCAGTGAACTATTAAACGTTTTGAAATAATAACTTTTAGAATCCATCGGTCCAGCTCTTTGCTGAGTAGCAGGTCCCTTTTCGGCATCCATGATTCACAATTTAGTAAGGACTAATATTTTATCCTACTGCCTTCAGCTTCAAACTGTGAATGAAAATCTCGCATTCAATACTGGCATAAAATATCCGTAGATAACTTTATCAGAGACTATCAATTTTATATGACTTCGCATGCCAATATATTTTTATTTTTATTACATGTCAATTGTAGTAAATTATTATTATTTGAAAATAAATAAATAATTGCAACTGACTTATTTAATTTAATCTTATTTAAAATTAAAATAAATACATTTAAATATAGAATGATGTAGTAATGAAAAATTTACGCACACACGCACGTAAAGATTCCTTATCGATTTTAAACTTTATATCTACGATATATCGTTATTTCTTTTATCGGTAACATTTTAACATACATATACGACCTTCTGATAAGACTTTACATGAATTATGGAAATACCGTTGATTATCGCATTTATGACGAGTTTACACATTTTTTTTCAATCTAATGGTTTTTACAGTTTCCTGTCGTAGCGTAGGGTTAGATACTTAATAAAAAACCCAATAAGTCAGCTCAGTGGTTACTGAATAGTTTTAATATTTTTCGAGTGGATGTGTGTCTGTGTGTCAAATAATCCGTTTTTTTATATTCGGACTCTCAATCTCTTGTCGAGCTTAAAAACCCTTCTGTTCCTTCGCCTGCTCAAGGCTGAGGCCGCGGTGACTTATCGCTCGCCCCGCAACCCCGGTTGAACATCAGCCCTATAGGGACCCGTCTACGGAAATAGTATTTAAAAATACAATAAGTTTCTGAGAAAAAAAAAACATTGCAGAAAATATGATAGATCAATAAATCTCAATTACGATAAAACTGAATTGATGCATTGTTGATAAATTAATAAATAATTATAATTGAGGTCATTAGTAAATTCTGATGTAAGGTTACAATTATAACAATGACTGTGCAAAAATATTTTATCAGTATAATGCGTCTTTTTTATTATCAAATCTGTAATCTTATTATCCTGTGGTACGTTCAAACTGAAATGATACGAGTTACCGGTAGAAATTACTAGAACAATAATAATTACTTTGCTACTTCAATGTTTTATAATATTACTTTTGTGGCCGTTTTTTTTTTGTGAGTGGAAAATGTTCAAATGACTTCTTCCGCCCAGGGTTGAGCGAGAGGTAGTGTCAGACTCCTTATGGCTAAATAACCCCCCGTTTATTCTCCTGCTCTGGGAAGGAATTAGGTAGGAATTTTATCTGAGTATAAGTAAAGACATATGAAACATATTTGAAATTTAGTTATCCTACGATTGTCTTGTCTATCTTTACTAATTATTTTATTTTATACGTATTTATGTGTAAATATGGTGAGGATTTTGGCGTTTCAGAGAAATTTTGTAAAACATAAAAACAAAAAGATACCCTTTAACACTATTCCCGACCTACGAATCGAACCCAAGACCAGTTGTTCGGCAGTAGCAGTAGATCAAAGAGACATTCACATCATCCGCCTATAAGCGTCCTCTGCTGAGCAAAGGCCTCTTCTCACACAGAGAAAGTTTGAGCATTAACTACCACGCATGCTCAAGGTGGATTGGCGATTTCAAACTTATAACTAGAAGTACTAAGTCCAGGTTTCCTCACGATGTTTTCTTTTACCGTATGTATGTGGCGTCTAAACAATCACAGAAAGTACATATAACTCGGAACCAGTCACATTGGTACTTGCCAGGTTGCCAACCCCAACTCCTCATGCATGAGAAGCGGGTGCCTTAACCTCCGGGCCGCCACGACTACGGCCACGCGAGACATTAACTAACATAAAATTAAGTGTTTATAATTGGTAGATTATTAAATGAGTGCGTTATCACAAATTATTACAAATATCTTTTCGCTTGACTGCAGTCACGTCGATCCTTATCTTCCAGTCAATTGCTTCCGACATAACGATGGAGTTTCAAAGTGTCATTTGAAGAAAGTTGAACTTTTTGATATATATATATATTTTTTTTGTTTGTCCCTCTACAATATCTTTAGTGATCTATGTCAAATAAATGATTTGACTTTGATTTTATTTAAGGATAATTGATTTTTAGTCAAATGTCAATTTTGTACTGTGTTAGTTTAAGGCTTAAAATTATAACCCCACTATCTATTTAGTAGGTATATATATGTATTCCCAGCGATGCCAATATACCCTTTGACGGCTACAGAAATACATCGTCTGTCCAAATGAATAAAATTAAATGCAGAAAAATAAAGGCAGTCTAATTGTCGGCGCGCCATGTTTTGGCGCGAATGGGCCGGCTCGACCGGAATGATTCCACGGCCTCACGAAAACTGGCGTGAAGAAACACTTACGTTGTTTTGCCGTGTGAGTAAGGTAACGCTCTATCCTCGAATCCCTTACAGCCCACAAGAGGCCTGCAGCGTAGTTGTAGTAACTCCTTTGGTATAACGAGTGTCCATGGGCAGCGCCGATTGCTTACCATCAGGCAATCCATTTACTCGTTTACCGACCTACGATATTATTAAAAGTTGTATGCCTCACTATCACGGTTCATGAGGTACAGCCTGGTGCCAGACAGACAGAGAGACTGAAATACCGACACCCAGACGGTCAGATAGCGGACTCTTAGCGATAGGGTTCGCGTCTTTTTCTTTTAGGTAACGGATCGCAAAACAGTTACGAACAGCAGTAATCAAAACAACGTATGGGAAACGTTCAATAATTAGGTTAATTAACTAACTTATCTGAACACAGAAGACAATAGATATCTATAATTATGTTCGAACTAATACATGTACTGATAATGTCTACGTTTAATAAGGTAGCCTTGAATTAACACAAGCACGTGTATTATAATGAGATTAGATTTGACCAATTATACTAATGTTTTACAAAATATTGATTTGTGTAATATCATTATCAACACCAGCCTATAAGTGCCTATTATTGAACAAAGGCCTCTTCTTAATCGAAGAACTTTTGAGCAATAATCACTACACTTATTCAAGGGGGAATGGAGAAATCCAAATTATAATTAGGAACTATAAAGTCAAGTTTACTTCTTCATATGTAGCTTTGCTGTATGACAGGAGTGTTTGAATAGAATTTTAAAATATTTATAACACGAATGAAGGCACATTGGTAGGTACAATTATTTTACAGCAAATTTTGCATCTATTTTGATTGTTCCTTCTGGAGTAGATTCCACTGCAACTTTTTCATTTAAATAATGTCATGATGACAAATGATGATGATGATGATGATGATTTTTGACGTTATAATGTACGTACTATACATCAAAAATCATCATCATCATCATTTACAAAAACCATTAGATATGTCGTAAGTTTTCAAATATTATATTGTATTTTTTATATATAGGTACATATAATTGATCAGGCAAGCTGCTATCAAAGACTACTCGAATTGACTTCAGGAAGATTGCTGTCCACCTGCTTAGAGCAGCAGGAAGGTTGCCGATAAGGTTATCGTACCAAACACTTTCAAAGGCCTTCGAAATATCGAGCTAGATTGCCAGTACCTTTCCGTACCTTTCGATCTGATCTTGGAATTATAGGAAATTTAGAACTCATGAGCAAGCACACTCACTACAAAATGTCAGGTTATATTGAAGATAGCAACTGGACCGTGCTCAAATATAGTCAATAGTTACTCAAATTCTAAGCATACATGAATTTTTTGATTCTATTAAAGGATAAAACAGTTCTTGATTTAGATTGTTAAAAGTGAAATTAAGAGTTTATATAGAAATATTTTTAGATTTTTATGATGCGTGTATAAGCATCTTGTTCAAGATGATAATGGATTAAAAATTTGTCAGCACAACGACAAGCAAATGTGTTTTCGGTCTTTTGTGAGTTGATAGGGGTTTAAGAGTGGAATGGGTTGGGTCTTTTATGAATCACCATTCAGCCTCTGGGTTAAGCAGCGGTCTTACTTTAATGCAATAATGGTCAATAAAAAAAATTGACGAAAGTTTTTACTTATCTGACTTTTTACTTTTTAGGATCATTTTTGCATGGCAATTTACAGTCCATGTTTTCAATGGAAGTTAATATACATTTATTTGACCGATTCACACATACCAGCAAGGTATAGATTACACTTGACAGTCAATTTTAAACTAAAATTAACGTAAACTGGCCCTTAACACCGCTAGAATTATTAGCAAATTTTACTACCAAGAAATTGAGTCCAGGAACTAATAACTTAATTCTATAGCCACCTCCCGAGCTATCTAAATTATGTGGGGACTAAGTGTTTATTATATCGCTCCGAAAGCATTTACACAGTGTCCTCCACTAATTGAATTTGTAATGAAACAATATTCTGTACATACCACATATGGGTCAACGTCTTGTACTACCAGACTACGATGAAATTCTTAATGATTATGTGGGGTTCTGCGTTTGCAATTTTCTGTTGTATTGATTGTCAAATGATAGGAAGTTTAAGGTCTTCGAAGGACGAAAATTAGAATGTAAAAGCCATCAATGGCTTCTGTGGTTTAGTATATAATATTTAAAATCTGTGACGTTCTTACTTGAAAAATAAAAAAGTACCAATTTACATGTATAAATAAATTAATATATGAAAATGAATCCCAATTTTCCTTAGTCGTGTGCACGGTTGGACTGGCTCTGATAAACCATTTTCGGCTGTGTATGCATCAGGGTTATCCAATCCTTATGACAGAAAATTCTGCAATTTTTTCTTTACTTTTTGTAGATCGCCTGAAAACAATGAAAATAGGGATCGAGAAATCTCGAACTGAACTTGGATATGCGATATTGCTTTATAATAATCGCACTCGAAAGCAATCTGAACCCATTGAAAGTTAAAAAATAAAAAAACATATTAACCTAAAAATATATAAAATAAAATTGCTTAAACTCTACCTTGTTTTATTTTACACTTAATATACTTAAATCTCAGTGAGCAGAGTTCTAATTCAAATAAAGCTATGCTAGTAGTAAGGTTTGGTAAAAATATTTTTAGGAATGAAGATTCTACATTAAGAGCATTTCCACATTACGTCAGATCCGAATCTGATGCGAAACCGTGAAAATACTCGTTTAGAGAACTCAGATAGAATTTTCATAACGATTACACACCAATCAAATTCGAATCTGATCCGAGAACCTGTAAAAGTAGGACCAAATTACTATATTATTTTTACATGATTATTATATATATTTTTTGAAGATTTTCTCAAAAAAAAACTCTAAAGGCTAATCAATTTTTTTGCGGTTTGTGTATTAAAGTATTACGAGTTGTAATATTTTTTTTAAGTTTACTTACTTTAATTTCAATATTTTTTATAAAAGTTGTTCAATATTTTTATTAATTAATAACAATCTTTAAGTCCACAAAGTAGGTAGTATCAGACCTTTAGTTTTTTTACATCAAGCACTATAATGTGTGGAAACAAATCTATATTAATATTATAAAGAGGTAAAATTTGTAAGTTTGTATGTAGGAGGTAATCTTTGGAACCGCTGGTCAGATTGGCAAAATTCTTTCACTGATAGATAGCTACAATGTTTTATGAGTGCTGTAGGCTACAAAACATCACGCTACAATTAAATGGAGCCGAGCAGCGGATGAAACCGCGCGAGAGTAGCTAGTAATTTATATTTTTATACATGAGCATCCTGACTTCTTCTTACACTCTATTTTTTTATTGTTGAATCTTATAGAACCACTAGCTTTTGCTTGCGGCTTCGCTCGCGTTAAGAAATATTATCATTAATTAGGTAGATATAGTTTTATCGCTAATTATTATAGAAATAGAATATAGGCATCCCGTATAGGTACGCATAATGTAGGCGTTATAGTAGCTTTATGCATGCAAGGTCTCAAGCCCGATCGGTTTAAAACTGACAGTTTCATTTAAACTTTCATCCTCTTTTTTATACCCTTGGGGGTAAAATTAATCAAAATCCTTTCTTAGCGGATGCCTACGTCATAACATCTACCTGCATGCCAAATTTCAGTCCGATCCGTCCAGTGGTTTGGACTGTGCGTTGATAGATCACTATATCAGTCACCTTTGAGTTTTATACATATAGATAGATAACAGGACTTTGACATTTGGACAGTTACACTTACTATTCTAAGTAACATAATATTACATTTTACAAATTGACAAACTTACAGAGTTAAAGAACTTATAAACTTAAAAACTAATTTAACTTACTATAACTACCAAAAAATCTTACTTATCTACTAACTAAGAAGACAATATAAAATTAGTATTATATCTTAAATTAAATAATAATACTTTTGCGAAATCTCTCGATATGTCGATTTGATTGTAAAGCTTATTGATGGTACAGATTGTGCAGGTATGTGGTGTTTAGAAACGGTTGGTCCTTGCCGTTGGTACTGCCAACAGTGAAGAGCCCTACCACGTTCAAAAGAAACTGCCTTAGAGTGCTTCTGTACTACGCCAAAGTCGTAAAACTATTTCCCTTTATTTATCGCATGGTGCGTTAAATATATCAGTCATTTTTCGATTTCTTTTAAGGAATAAAAAAAATATTTAAATTTCTAGACCTACTTATATTTTCACGGTTTTTTGTTCGGGTTCAGATCGGACGTACAGCTGGAACAATTAAACAATAAACAAAAATAATTGAAATCTAATTTACAGACCAATTCACTGACAGTCTCGGTTTAAAATTTTATAAATTAATCTGAACACTGTGATCAATGGATTAAAAAGCAAAATGGAGGTGACGATGCCTGTGAAGGCAATAAATCCATTTGTGACTCGCTCGTTCATCCAATCTCTAAATGCTTCTTTATCGAATCCATAGCAGACGGCAGCTGAAGAACAGGCGAAGCAAGCCATCCCGATTACAACGTGAATCAGCTTGTTAATCTTGACCGGACAAAACCTTCGCAGTGGATAAGCATACAGGCACAATAGTCCAGTCAACATAGTCAATGGAGTTATGGTTAGGCAGCACAAACCTGGAATTGATAACGAAGTGTATTAGCATTATAGTCCATTTTTCAGTGGCAAAGGTATGTCAAACATAATAAAAAATTTAATATGGGATAGGTAAATAATTATTGACAAAGATATTTGAATCCTGCGAGTTAATAGGTAAAGTTGCTTTTACAAAGGAAGCTTACGCTTTTTTAATATTTACAATGGAGGAAAAATGCAGCACTCATTTTAGGTATTTTAGGTATTCATTTTTAACAGATAATATTTCCTCAGCTATTTATCGCAGCTTAAAACTTAATTGCATAACAACAGACATAACTTTATCTGAATTATATAATGTGTTGGATATTTATCTGTCTTCGTGATGATAAAAACTTGGTAAAGGATGCATACGTAGGTTATCAGCAAAACAAAGAACGTTAATTATATCGCTAATTTGTTTGTTTCAGAGGCCAAATGAAGACATAATACAGCTGGTAGTAATCGATTACATATATAAAACTAATCTCATATCAGGTGAAAAGATTATATAGTTAATAATTATCATGAGTGCACTTTGGAAGAAAGAACAATTTCCGCCTGTAATATGAAGGTGGAGCAACGGTTGCAAGCGTTTTTTTTGTTGTTTTTTTTTTAATAATGAACGTTGCTCCACTTTAGGATTTTCTCCTGTGTTTGGGTGTGTTAACAAACATCCAATTTCACATACACAAAACACCCAGATCCGGAGCAATAATTTGTGGATCACAATGAAACAATGAAACAATGAATTTATTTTTGCAAATAGGCCATAAAACGGCACTTTTACACGTCAATTTATATGTAAAAAACTAGATGAAGCCGGTTTCGATTCCCGCACGGAACACACAAAGTGTTGTTCCGTGCGGGAATCGAACCCGCGAGACGTTGCACAGTCAAAGCGTAATGCTGTACCGCGGCTTGAAGTCGTAGAAGGAACTTAAAACAAGAAATACTACTAGTAACTACTTAACATCATCTCCTTTTTAGTCGTCATCAGCCTATAAGTGCCTTTCGTTGAGCAAAGGTCTCTTCTCAGAGAGAAGGTTTGAGCATTAATCACCAAGGCGGATAACCGATTTCAAACTTATAATTAGAAATTAAAAGTCCAGCACGTCGATTCTATAAAATTTGTTTGATTTTGAATGTTGTTCGAGTGCGAAGTGAGTGTCGAAGTGACGGGGTAATTAAATTTTAGAATGCCACTTTTAACGTCATCTCATACTTTATCTATCAAAATGTTGCTGTCAATTTAGTTCAACTCGCTAGTGTAGCGCTGGTGTACTACCACTCACAGCGGATTCGGATTCGAAGTTTAGAATGAAGTCTTACAGAATCACACCCCAGGTTTCCCCACGATGTTATCCTTCGTCATATGTCAGTGGTGTCTACAACTGTAGAAAGTATAAATATAACCCAGAAAAAGTCAAATCGGCACTTGCTAGGTTAGGTTAGGTTAGGAACCCTCATGTACGAGAAGAGGGCGCTTTAACATCCAGGCTACCACGACGATTTTTTTGTGACTAAGTGTCTTGTGAGGATAGGAAAGTCTTTGGATATATTTCCCTCAAAATAGGCTCTCCGCTTCGTTTTACCTATACTTGATAGTGACAGTGAACAAGCATGCCGCTTATCTAATGGTAAATTGATGTTAGCCATGGACACACACAGCATCCTTTTTTAATTGAAAATAACGACTTAACTGAAACAAGCTCTACTGGTTTCAGGACACAACGGGACTCTTATTAATGAACGCGTGCACGGCGCGACAAAGTGGAGTAGCCGCCAGAATCTAGTAAAGCTTTTTTCAGTAAATTCACGTGCATAAGTCATTATTTTCAATTATCAAATTCAATTATCAAATTTGTAGGTTTTGCAGTTTGTTTTATAATGGATGAAAATGGGTTTTCCACGCAAAATTAGGTGCAAACTTGCCTATTCTTCGAGGTATTAAGATACATTTTGATAAGATAAACATTGCAATTACCTAATCGTCCATGTGTAGTTTCGAAGTGCTTTTTCTTGGAAGACAAGATGATCACGCTGCCAATAACTCCCATAGTATAGGCGCATAAATGTAGGACCCAATGTGCTCGTATTTTGTTGCTCTTTTTAAGTGGTGAAGACCAGGTGTTGAATGGACATAGGCTGAGCAGCGCTTGTGCTGCTAACACTTGGTACTGAAACGAGAAATGTGAATTTGTTAGGTGACATAAGTTCACATTGTAAATGTGCTTCGGCACGAATGGTGTACAATCCAGCGGTGGTTTTGCAGCAATTGCGCTTGCGTCAGTACAAATATGTAAGCAACATATATAAGTAATATACAAAATCCGATGCACCGATCGTAAATGAGGCCTTCTCTCTTTTCTTAAGCATGATTATGGGTAGTTTTTTGGAATTTTAGAAAGTTTCCGGGATAGTGTAATGTTTGAATGTGCGTGTGCGGTGAATGGCGATTAATGGAAAGTACTAGGTGCTATACTATTGTATGATGATTTAACAACTCAAACCGGGATGATGGACATGGTATAAAAACATGAAATCTAGTCCATCAGTAATAATAAGAAAACATATTAAACGAGTATTTTTAGATATTTGAATCAAATGTTTTTTTCTACGTTTGTTACCCGCGTGTTGAGTCTCATGTATGTAGAAAAGTATCAAGAAAAGTGAAAAGTGGACACTCGAATTACTTATTAAGTATGTATATATAATTGATTGTAATAATAATAAACAACGATAGAATTTATATTTTATTCTAAAGGACATTGCTCTGCGTTTCTTCAGTGTTGGCCCTGGAGCCAAGAGCATTGGAAATATATTAATTGTAGTCTCTATCAATACTAAACTTCTACACGTATCTTATTTTCATAGCAGTATAGGTGCAGCATAGATACTTATATTACAAAAAATATCAGATTTTAAAGTTGTAATTTAACGATAATAACGAATTTTAAGTGTTATTTTTAAGGACCAAGCTAAATAAATATCACAAAGGCTACTTTTGAACAGTGTACCCACCTATGAAACCAGTCATAGGCACTAGTCTAGTCTCCAGGCGACTACTAATGTCACGTAAAATACCATTAAATGCACATTTCGGAATACAACTTGTCCGTGTTTTAAAAATGATAGCAACCTAAATAATAAAGTACGCCATTAATTATTGTGTTCATTCAGATACTCTTTATTGCACAGGGCCAATCTGGACATTGTCTTTAATCGAATACTAGAAAAAAAATATTTTAGTCATATTTAATTAAAACTTATTGTACATTTTTCTGTGACTGTGAATTGTGATAATAGGTGTACCTATGAAATTGCCGTTTTGCATGAAAAAATTTAAATTTTGATTTGAAATACGATGAAAATGTAACACTAAACAATAAACAAATGACTACTTTTGGAAAAAGAATCCCATGTTTTTAAAACAAAATTAATTGGCCTTAGCCTAACAAAAACTATTTTGATTTGAAATGGCCAGTACTGCAGAACGGCAATTTTATTGGTAAAGACCTATTATTTAGATGAGGGTTTTTCATTCAATATGTGTATCTAAAATATACGACTAGCAATAACATGATTAAGATTAATATCGCATTTAGGTAATTAATGATGTTTTCCGAAATGCATTTTTAAATCCGCGCGATTAAGATATTGACTTTAAAACAACATGTTTATTATAAGTTTGATGATAAAATTTTAAAAGCGGTCACTTTTATTTTGTTATCGTTGTAGGTATTGGCTACAATAAGAATCGACGTCAATCATTTTCTCTCACCTCGGAAAATTAACAAAAAGCTCTAGAAAATTAATAATTTATTTATTAATTTTAAAGCAAGTAAGTTAGTAATACTTAAATATTTTCTGTCCGGTTTTGGTCATTTAAGAAAGAACATTATGATATTTTATTTATATAAAATTATTATATTTTTAAAAATGCTCTATGGGACGTTTTATTTGGTGTAATAAAAACAAAAGCAGTTGAGTCTTACCGCAGGTATACAGATCAGGATATGATGCATTATGGCTTCGGAGTCTGCAGCGTCCGTTTGGAAATTCTGGAGTACTGCATACAGCATGGGTACACCCATTGTGATTCCGACCAACATATGTACAAACACATTGAATGAGAACAAAATAGTTTTTAAGATATCATTCTGTTCTGCCATTGCCGGCATGATGACTCAATTTCACTAGCGTCTAACATCAATCTGTATATGTACACAGTACACAGTGTAATCATGTACACAGTGTCTGTCTGTACGTAAAAATACGCAATTCGAAATTCCTAGCCATCGTTTCGTTCCACACGCACTTTCCTCGAACCCACTGATTTGTCAATAAAGTTATTTATAGATAAAATGTTGATACTAATGAAAAGATAATATTTCTTTTTATCAGTTCATGCTTCATGATTAGGTATATTTTATGTATATTCGATAGTAGTTTGACAAACATTTTTTTTTATTTAACTCGTATTACATGAAATAATCTGAGTTTAATGTTAATTAATCAGTTAATGGTTAACATGAAAAATGTTAGGTAGGTACAGTTTAGTTCCTGGTTATATTATTATTGCTGATAGTATAATAACTCGTTTAATACAATGATAATTGAAATAATCTACCCAATAGATTAGATACTCATTTGTCTTCGTAAATAGTGTGATGATGATTTTTTTTAACTTTGCCCGGCAAAAGATTTTCTTATGAACCGTAAGTAACTTACCCACGGTTTATACAAATATATAAATTTACTTTTACATGAAGTCCAAACCCGGAAAAACAGATTTTGGTCGTAAAGTGTAAATATTCCTGAACCTGTATCTCGTTGCTCGGCAGCCGGTTGGCCATCGCGCCTACCACGCAGTCAAATTAACCCTTGGTTTAGGTACTGTGAATTATTACAAATTAACAATAATTATTTTAAGCGTATGGCGAACGAACTTATACAGTACATTAAACATATTATGCAAAACGATGCTCTCAAAAAAAAAAAACATTGAAAAAATGCAAGCTAGCAGAAGTAACAAACGAATTATTTAAATTCGACTGCAGAAGATAAATTTTGAAAGAAAGAAGAAAGAAAGAAAGAAAGAAAAATAATTTATTCGTAATTAGGCATGGCCCTCCAAATATACATACACAAAAGAACAATGTAAAAATAAAATAAAATAAAAAACAATATAAACATCAAATAACAAAACAAACATCTTTTGAGTAATAAAAACTAAAAAAAACAATTTAAACAAATAAAAGAGTAACAGGGGCGCATCATGCCCAATACGAAAGGGCCTGCCAACTCAGTTTAAGCTGGGCACAGTAAGTACCCAACACTGGTTTTCAGTTGGCACCCTTGCAGCGACGCACGGACGAAAGCAACGAAAAATATTTGAAAGGAAAATATTGGATACGAATACCTACTTAAAAACACATCCTGTTGAAGAGAAGAAGAGTGTTAAAATAAGTACCTATACATAAACTAAAACTAAAATACATAAACTAGTATAACAAGTACCGTCACCAAAGGAAAAAAAAAAAAAAAACAAATAAATTAATAAACCTATATTATTACCTACGATATAAAAATAACTGTGGTAGTTGTGTGGCCACGAAGAAGTGAGTGGAGGAGCGAAGTGAGAAGCAGATGCGAGGGACAAGGTCAACACCCCATCAGCACCACCGCAAACAACAAAAGTCAGTTTGCTACTTTATAACAATAATGTAAATAATAAAAAAAAAATAATAATAATAGATATATGTCAGATTACATAAACGAAATATCAATATTTATAGATTCACTCTCTATTTGAGAGTTAATAATAAACTCCTTGAGTTTTTTCCTAAAACCAAATGTGCTCTTCATATTCCTGATTGGCGGAGGTATGTTGTTCCAGCACTTAGAAGCTGCATATCGGAAACTACCCCGAAAAGCAGCCGATTTGTGTTGCGGTATAGCCAGCTGTTGTGCACACCGCCTACCCTCCCGCTGCCGATGAGCATTCACCCACGTGAGCTTCGAGTAGAGGTATGATGGACACTTATACTTAATCACACCAAAGAGGAGACACGCCAGGTGAAGCTTACGCCGAGACTTCATTTTCAGAAGATTGTACTTGTTTAAGTAAGGTGTTATGTGGCTCCTAGGTGGAATTTTAAAACAAAAACGCGCACAGGCATTCTGAACCCTCTGTATCAATCGCTCAGTCCGCGAATACAGTCTGGGTTCAATAACCGTGTCAGCGTAATTTAGCTTGGATAAAACCAACGACTCAACCAGCTGCACACGCAACTCGTCACTCAGATACGGGCGCATTCTGTATAGAATCTTAAGACGGTAAAAACAGTTTCTGACGCAGTTAGAGATGTGGGACTCGAACCTAAGACCTTGATCCATTATCAGACCCAAATTTCGCGCCTCATCGACACGCTCAATGATTTGACCCCTCAAGAGAACGTTTGTATTACTAGAAGGAGTCTTGAACAGTTGCGTCTTTGTTCCGAAAAGCATGAACTTTGTTTTGGATGGATTCAAGATGAGGCAGTTACTGCTTGACCAGTTCACTATCCTGTCGAGGTCCTCATTAATTAAATTCACAGCACTTGCGTATTCTTCCGGTCTAAAGGACAAGTAAATCTGGATATCGTCAGCGTAAATATGAAATTTGCATGTTTTTATTATATTGATGATGTCAGCACAATATAATAGGAATAGAGTCGGCCCCAATATAGATCCTTGGGGAACCCCCTTTGTCACAGGTTTCATCTCCGAAGTCAAGATAGAACCATTAGCATCGCGACATTCAACCAGCTGCGCACGGTTGCTGAGGTAGCTGTCAAACCATTTAATTGTTGGTATGTCAAAACCGTAGTACGCCATTTTCGAAAGCAATAGAGACAAATTAATAGCATCAAATGCCCTCGAAAAGTCCAGAAGGACCAATATAGTGCACATACCCTCATCCTGCGCAGCCAGTATATTGTCGGTGACGTCCAACAAAGCTGTGGCCGTACTACGCCCCCTCCGGAAACCAGACTGCGCATCCGGCAGAACGCCGCTGTCCTCTATAAACTTGGTAACCTGCTCGTTTACGACCCTTTCCAAGACCTTAGACATTAAGGGTAAAATGCTAATAGGCCTTAACTCTTTAAGATCGCTAGGATTATTTACCTTGGGTAGAGGACGCACTTTTGCTAACTTCCAGGCGCCCGGAAAAGTCGCCGTTACTATGGAGGCATTAATAATACGCGTCAGGACATTCAAGGTTTGTGGTATTGTTATAATAAACATATTCAGTGATATCTGATCACAACCTTCGGCATTAGATTTTAGGCTGGTTATCAACCTAAAAATTTTCATGTCATCAGTTGTATTAAGAGAGAGGACGCAATCAGAAAACCTATGAAATTCATAGTACGTGTAAAACGACAGGGAAGTAATAGTATCGCCGGGAACATTCAAAAAATGATTATTTATTTTGCTTGGATCATTAAGATGTGCGGGTAATTCAATATCACACTTTCGAGGCAGCAAGGTGGATTTTAAATTCTTCCAAAGCATTTTTGGATGTTTGATGTTGTTGTTAATATTTGATTTGAAGTAGGCTACTTTTTCAAGGTAGATTGATTTAGTAACTAGACTCTTTAGATCCATGTAATATTGTTTTTTGTGGGTTAATGTGTTATTATTTCGGAATTCCATAAGGGCTTTGTCGCGAAGTTTCATCATAAATTTTATGTTCTCTGTAATCCACGGATAGGATCTTTCCCTCACCCTAACACTCCTGCGAGGCGAGGCATTTTTTGGCATTTTTTTTGTCCCTAAATTAATCGTTTCCCATCAAATTTTATAATAGGTAAGTCATTTTTAAAAGTAAGAATATTTGTCTTTATTTTAAAATCATTTATTTAATTTTGGCTAAAATATTATACGCTACTAGCTTCCGCCCGCGTGGTTTGTTGATAAACGCAGCTGTGTTAATCCAGGGTCACCTATATACATACCAAATCAGTCCAGCCGTTTTTGTGTGAAAGAATTACAAACACACATACAGACATTCACACAAACTTTCACATTTATAATAATAGTAGGAAGCATTGTGATTTGTACCTACCCAGTTTTATATCTGGCCACTAACAGTAAGGTTCAAATGTATTGTTAAATATTAAAGATAACACATTTGATAATAAATTGTTTTTGAATCAAATGGCGATAGGTATAAAATCCCCGGTTTTGAGGCTAAGGCCGCACTACGGTTTTTTCCCGCGACCTATCCTCCGGAAGTGGAGTCATGCCGTGCAATTATCAATGAACGACTTTTTTGAGGGTCATTTCACAAATTGATAGGTATTTTAATTGCCAAATCAGCTAACTCCTTACCAGGCAATTTCTCAGAGACACTTAAAACTATAATATTTTTCTTAGACTACATAAATAAAGAAATTTAAAATACCGTGGTTTGAAAGATATATGTATAACTGAAATTCATATTTCACTGTGTATTTAAATGCGAAAGTAACTCTGTCTGTCTGTCTTTTCTTCACGCCTAAACTACTGAACCTATTTGTGTGTAATTTGGTACAGACATAGTTTGGAACTCGAGAAAGGACATAGGATAGTTTTCAAACAAAAACTCCGCAGGAAGTCACTATTCTAAGCGAACAAATTCGCGGGAAAATCTAGTCTTTTATAAATTTTCTTTACAAAACTAAAGCGTTTTTCGGAGTTATATGTTTTTTTGTCAAAATGTGGAGAGTTGGCTGGTTTTCTAATGAAGGTATCGAAATGTACCTATTCACCGGACATCTTCACAAATGCGACTTTTTTAGTTCCTTTACTTGTTTCACATTATCACGCGGTTAAAAACCATCACGGTTTAATAACCCTAGTCTGTCTCTGTAAGTGTGGCTTTGTCTTCTTGGCCTTGAGAATTCAAGGCCAAGTACCTACTGCGACTGCATAGGACATGCACAATTTACACTATTGCTATGCTTTTCCATAACAAAAATGAGTGTACGATAATATACATAAATATCTAAACATAGGTGTGTATTCATATTGGACAATGATGTAGTACTCTTTATAGGGTGTTACCCTAAGACCGTTAGCCCATACGAGTGTTTGGGAATCGATCAAATTGTACATAGCCCTCAATTAATATCAGTCATGTTGAGTGAGGTTTGAAAGGTTCATTGAAATGCAGGTCAAGTGTGGTTTGCATATTTAACGCTCACTGTTTTGGTTCTAAGTAATGGAGTTTAAGCCTCTTAGAGTGTGCTGATGGGGGTAACTGATAAGATGTAGCGATAATGATAAGGGTCAGATTTTAATGGAAACTATGGTGCTATATTATACGAGTATGTTTGGTCTCTTTTTTAAACCAGGTTGAATACTAACCCATTTTTATCGACCCCATTTGCAAGTCACAGCCCATAAGCGCCCACTGCTAAGCAAAGGTCTTCTCACA